CAGCCTTGGAGGGGCTTGCAGCCCCCCTGGCTGGCCACCCCACAGGAGGGCTGGCCGAGGGATGGTGGTACCCTCACACTGGGCTGCAGGGGCAGTGTCCTGTCCCCGTCCCTGTCCCCGTCCCTGTCCCCATCCCTGTCTCCATCCCATTCCCTTCCCTGTCCCCATCCCTGTCCCATCCCACCCCATCTATCCCATTCCCACCCCTGATCCCATCTATGACCCCCATCCCATCCCAGTCCCCAGGGACAGAACCAGTAGGGGATGTCCCCATCGTGCCATTGTGGGACACCCACACCGCAGCCCCCCGAGTGCTGGGGGGGCACTGGAGCTGCCACCCCCAGGGCCACGTGTCCCCAGGCACCAGGTGACGTTGCCTCATCTCTGTCCCACCTTTTCCTTGCTGGTGAAAATTTATTTATGCCTCCATTTCCCCACTGCCGATTCCCCCCGCTCCTAGAAATACTCCATTCCTGCCTCATCCCATATTCCCCCCCCAGCAGCTCTGCCCAACGCCGTGACACGGGTGACCTGGGGACCCAAAGTGGCCTCTCAGTGGGAGCGTGGCCGTGCCGTGGCACTGGGGACCCCCCAGTAAGGTGGACATGGGGACGGGGGTCCATGGACCCGCTCTGTCCTCGTCCTGTCCCATCCCAGCCACCGGAGCCACCGGAGGTGCCACCACCTCCTCCCGGCTGCCTTTGGCTTTAGGTTCCTCCAGCACCAACAGGGTGACACCCACAGGGACAGCCCGGATCTGGGGGTCACCGGGACGTGCCCACGTAACGGGGTGCTCACCCCGAGCCCCATCCTTCTGGGGGTGACCACTCGCAGCCACCTCTGGCTCTGCGGTGCCACCACGACAGCTCCGTGGGGCCACCACGACAGCTCCGTGGTGCCACCAGGACCCATCACCGGGGCAGCAGGGATGGATCCAGCACAAACTGCCCCCCCCAAAAGCTGTCCCCACGGAGTGTCACCGGCAGCACGGTGCCCGGCCACGCTCCGATAACCGAATTTGCTCACAGAGGCGCGTGGCGGGGGCTCACGCCGCGCCAGCCCCCCGCGCACGCACGGAGCCGTCTGTTAATTTGTTATCGTTTAAGTCACTCAGTTCGCAAAATGTCAACAGCATTTTAAAAACCCGCCACCTGGAAAGCGCGCTGTCGCCCCGTGTGATACCCGCAGCAGGGCTGCCAGGCCGCGCTAATTAAAATGAGTGGGATTTGAACTGTCTAAACGAGGCGCAGCGCTAATTCGTCTGCTTCAAAATAGAAAAAAAAAAAAATACTAAATGTGCCTTTTGGCGGGGCAGGGACGGGGCCGAGCCGGGTGCCAGTGGCCCCTCTCCATCTCCCCGGGTCTGGCGCGCTCCCAGCGAGCCATGGCAACCTTGGAGGAGCCACAGCTTTGCCAAACCACGGCCAGGGACCACCAGACACACGTGTGGTTTCCACTCCCCGCGGGTGCCAGCTCAGGGGGAGCTGGGGACAAGGAGCCCCGTCCCCATCGTGACTGAGCCCTCAAGTCACGGGGACACGGCTCGGGGCAAATCCCCGGCTCTGAGGTCGCTGGGAATGGCAGGGAGGGAGAGGAGGGACCCCCCCTTTGGCACAGCAACGAGTGCCAGTTCACGTTTTCAAGCCAAATGGAAAGCTCAGCTTTGAGCAAATCCAGGTTATTCCACTGGGAAACGCACAGTCCCAGCCCCTCTCAGCAGCAGAGACCCCGTGTGCCCCCCACCACGGTGCCAGGGCAGGTTCCATCCAGGGCAGATGCCATCATGGGATGGGGCTGATGCCATCACTGGGGCTGATGCCATGGGACGAGGATGATGCCATCACATGGTTGATGCCATGGGATGAGGATGATGCCATGGGGCAGGGATGATGCCATCACAGGGATGATGCCACGGGATGGGGCTCATGCCCTGGGATGAGGATGATGCCATCACAGGGATGGGGCTCATGCCCTGGGATGAGGATGATGCCATCACAGGGATGGGGCTGATGCCATGGGATGAGGACAATGCCATCACAAGGATGATGCCATGGGATGAGGACGATGCCATCACAAGGATGATGCCACGGGATGGGGCTGATGCCATGGGATGACAATGATGCCATCACAAGGATGATGCCATGGGACAGGGAAGATGCCATGGGATGGGGCTGATGCCATGGGATGAGGACGATGCCATCACAGGGCTGACGCCCTGGGACAGGGGTGATGCCACGAGACAGGGCTGATGCCATCACCGGGGCCGATGCCACAGCCCACCGTGGCCACCAGCCCCCCGCCAGCGGGCACGGCGCTCGCCCACCACCAAAGGGGTTAACGCGGGAGCTTTGTTTTTCGCTGACAGAGACGGATGGCGCGGGCTCCTGCCTCACCCCGGCGGGATGTTACACTTGACAATTGACTACTCGCAGCTTTCAGCTCTGTCAGCTACCATTAAGGCTGGGATCCTGGCTAATTGGGTGCTTCATTAGGGGCATTCGTTACTGTTAGCGCGCCGCCTGACAGCCAGGCCTGCTCCTCCGGCAGGGCAGGGGACAGGAGGGCTGCTCGGTGGGCTCCTCCGCTGCCCCCCAAGTGTGGGGGCTCTGGCATGGAGGAACCCCCCCGGGGACACCCCATGGGATCAACAACACACCCTCCCCGGGACACCCCCAGAACCCCCCCTGGGGACACCCCCAGTGCACCCACCCCGGCACGGCCACAGCTCCTGCCCCACGGCAGCACCGCAGAGCCCTGGGGGGGGCTGTGCTGCGCTCCCACCCCCCCGCACTTGGGGGGCCTGGCACCCGGACCCGC